CAACAACATCATTATGGAAGTAAATTGCCCAACCTTCCTTCCAAGGAGTGGCTGGTGGATTGAACCGCCAGCCTTCTGGTTAGCAGTCCAGTGCCTTAGGCACTACGCTACCAGAGCTCCCAAATTTACAAATTTTAGTTGTTGTTGTTTTTTATGGTTATGTGCCGTCCAGTTGGGCCCAACACATAGCGACCCCTCCTTGGGTTTCCGAGGCAGTATCACTACAGAAGTAGATTGCCTCATCTTCCTTCCGAGGAGTGGCTGGTGGGTTTGAACCGCCAGCCTTCTGTTTAGCAGTCAAGTGCTTTAGGCACTATGCTACCAGAGCTCCCACAAATTTTAGTAGATATTTTAAAAGAGATTAACCTTAGTTGTTTCCTTGTCTGTTTTTGTAATAACTTGTTCAGATTTGGTACCGATATCAAGGGTAATTCATGTCAGGAATTTGGAAGTGTTCTTTGTATTTTAGTGCTCTGGAACAGGTCAAACCCCGCTGGGATTGAAAGGCTTGATAAATTTCTGGTAGAATTTCTCTGTTCCTTCTTGAAGAGGGTGGAGTTATTTATGAAGTTCTGTGTTTCTTCTAAGATAATTGGTCTGTTTAACATTTCTATTTAATTTAGGGTGAGTTTTGGTACATCACAACTTAAAGTATTTGCTTAAAATTTCACCTCTTCTTTTTGTTACTAGTTTATTGTTTCAGGGTCCTTGTCAATTGCAGCAGCAAATCGAACTACAAAAGGTCTGGTGAGTAACATTTATTTATTTATTTTTTCACCAAAAGAAGGATTAATGATAGCTGCTGACCTCGCATTTTGTTTGTTTTTAAACAAGCAGGAAGTACTGTGAGTTTACTTAGTTGAATTGGTCTTTCAAAACTGCCAATCAGCCAGTTAGCCCACAATAGACTCACTGACATGGGGCTGAATATTTCTCTGAAGATACAGAGCATCCTTAGGGAAACGTGACAGAGCCCTGCGACCTGAGACCCAGCCCATGACAATGGCACTGAGTGGTGGCGGGACATAAAATTTTTTAACTGACTAAATGTATATTACAGTATACGTATACTACAGTTGAATCTAAAAGAGATTTTGGTTCACATTAAAATGAAATTCACAGAAGAAGAAGGGGTGTTGTGGAGGAGAAGAAAATTTAAAATATCATTTCCACACCGAGCTGTCCTTCACAAAGCCCATTAAAAGGCAAAAGCCCAGATTTCATCAAATGTTTTTCCTGCCTAAAGACGCTATTTGAATTTTCCTTGGTCGGTGGGTAAGTGTTAAGCTCTGGAGCATGTTCAAGATGACTCTTCCACTCTCCTTGGTTCTTGCTTCCAACATGACAAAGGAAAGGAGGAATGACGGTCATGCCAAAAAGGGTCACGGCCACGTGCAGCCTATTTGCTGCACAAACTGCGCCCGCTGCACGCCCATAGAAAAGGCAATTAACAAGTTCCTAATTAGAAATATAGTAGAGGCCCCAGCAGTCAGGGGCGTTTCCGAGGCCAATGTCTTTGACGCATTATGTGTTTCCCAAGCTCTATGTGACCTTCATTATTGTGTGAGTTGTGCCATTCACAGCAAGGTGGTCAGGAATCATTCTCATGAAGCCCAGAAGGACACAACACCCCCACCCTGATTTAGACCTGCAGGGGCTGCCCCACGACCTCCACCAAAGTCTGTGTAAAGATCTGAGTACTTAAAAGCTGAAGGAAAGCTAACCTGAAAGAAAATAAAATGGAAATCATACTTAAAAAAAAAAAAAAAAATGACCCTTCCAAACCTGCCTCCTGACCTTCTTGTCCAGTTAACAAAACAAAAAAACAAATTCAACAAATTCACCACCTTCAAATTGTTTCTGATGCATAGTTCCCAAGGCTATCAATCTTTACGGAAGTAGATCACCCAGTCTTTCTTCCATGGTGCAGCTGGTGGGTTTGAAACACTGACTTTCTGCTTAGTAGTCAAGTGCCTTATCCACTACACCACTAGAGCTCCTTGTCTAGTTATATGCAGTAGAAGGTGCTTAATGCTACAGTCACCTCAAACCTCTCACTCTTTCCTGAACAACTTGCATTTTTAGAAGAGGCCTCCATTCCTCTTCCCATGAGAAGAGAATGTATGGCAGGAAACAGCCAGTAGAGGGGACAATATGCAGAAGGTATGGAGGCGTGAAAGGTGAGCAGCATTTAGAGATCAGGCATTGGAAGTAGCCATGGTAAAAGATGGCCATGGACAAGCTCTGTCCAACAAAAGTATAAAGGGCATTGTAAGCCCCCCAATGAGACTCTTAGGGAGTCATTTGAGGGATACAAGTTTGGGAATGACATATTTTTGTTCTGGCAAGAGAGCAAATCCCTGGATGGCACAAATGTTTTGCACATGACTGTTAAGCTAAAGGATGACCATTCAAATGCACTCACTGGTGCTGCCGAAGAAAAACCTGGCAATCCGTTTCTGTAAAGATTACAGCTAATAAAACCTTAGGAAGTGTTCTTAAAGCCAATCAATAGTTTTAGCTTAACTGGTGGTAAATGTCTGCCTTGAACACGATGCTCTTTTAAGAACCATCTGTTGTTGTTGTTATGTGCCATCGAATCAGACCCAATTCATAGCGACCCCTCCTTGGGTTTCCGAGGCGGTATCACTACCCAAGTAGATTGCCCAACCTTCTTTCTGACGAGTGGCTGGCGGCTTTGAACCAACAGTCTTCTGGTTAGCAGTCAAGTGCTTTAGGCACTATGCTACCAGAGCGCCTAAGAACTATCTATGTGGGATAAAATTGATAACAGCCACTGGAATGATGAGATAGGAACCTTAGCAGGCAGTGAGTTTATGTTAATGGTGGAGGAATAACTCAGAAAATGATGGTGAGAATGGTTGCACAACTCAAAGAAAGTAATCAATGTCACCAAATTGAACGTGTGGAACGTGTTGAATTTGTGTGTATTTTGCTGTGTATATTCTTAATAACAACAACAAAAAATAATAAAAGAGAAAGAAAAAGGAGCAAACAAAATAAAGACTGATGGATGATGGAGCAGTTGTACTCTATAATGAAGAAGGTTGCCATTGACTCGACAGTAATAGGTTTGTTTGTTTTCTTTTTTTATATAAGGAAAGTGACAAATCAGGAGACTGTTGCTGGAGATGATTGTTGCTGAAGAAGAAGTGGGTGGGAGGGATGGAGGTACATCTGAGGATGTCAGTGGTGGACTGTTTAATAGACTTTCATTCCTTTCTAGGTTCGAAGTAGCCTGGGACTGAATATCACCAGCTCAGTCATGGCTGCCGCAGGCATCATAATCTGTTCAATCAGCTTGAGTGTTTATTCATTCAGGCATTATCATTGTAGCAACAGTCAGATGCCGGAAAATTGTGCCATGGTTGTATTCACTTTAATGGTGAGTGCTTCCTCTTTTCATGGGGTACTGTGCTGGAAGCAGGTCGCGGGAGCCTTGGTTCTAGCAAAAACAACAATCATTATTCTTTAATTGCTAGATCATTTTTGGGGAACTTTGAAGTGATTAAAAAATAGGATAATCTTTTACTCAGGAGTTAGATCCACATTCCACATCTCTCTTTGTTCATTCTCTATATGTGATCAGGCAAAGTGGGAAAAGAGAGCTCGTATTTACTAAACACTTACTATCTAACAGTTGTGGTGCTGGGCCCTTTGCGTACTCTTCTTGTTTAATTTCACAACTATGATCAGTATGTACTGTTGTTCCCTCCAAAAATGGCACTCAGATGTTAGTCCTTATATATCTTGATTGAGCTCCTGATGGAATTACCTGGTACTCTAAATAACGTATAATTGTCTTGAACGTTACCCTACAAATGATGAGTAATCTAAGATCCCCCCAACATCTCTAGAGAATTTTGTATGATGCATCATTTCTATCTCCATCCAACACCTTGCTCCTGGCAAATTCTTAATCTTCATTCTGTATTTTATAATTTTCTGTCCCCCTATACGGCTACTATTCTAAAACTTTATTCTCCAAATTACCATTGTTATGGATTGAGTTTTGTTCTTCCAAAAGATATTGAAATCCTAACTCCTTTACCTGTGAGTATGACCTTGTCTGGGTGTAGTTTTTCTTTTGTTATGTTAATGAAGTCACACTAGAGTTGAGTGGGTCCCAGGTCTAAAAACTTCTTGTAAAAGAGAGACACACACACATGGGGGAAGGCAAATTCCATGTAAAGATTCATCTATAAGAAAAGAAATGCCAAGGGGCACCTGGAACTTTCAACCAGGAAGGACTCTCCTCTAGGGATAATACTCTGATTTGGACTTCTAGCCTCCAAAAGCATACGACAATAAATTCTTTTTCTTTATGGTATTTTTGTTGTTGTTGTTGTTGTTGTTAGAGCAACACTAGGAAACTAAGACTCAAAAAACCAAACCAAATTCCCTGCCATGGAGTTGGATCCGACTCATAGTGACCTCTCCTTGGGTTTTCCGATGCAGTATCCCTATGGAAGTAGATTGCCCAACCTTCCTTCTGAGGAGTGGCTGGTGGGTTTGAACTGCCACCCTTCTGGTTAGCAGTCAAATGCCTTAGGCACTACGCCACCAGAGATCCCAGGAAAGTAAGACTACCACTTACAAAAGATTGTGTAGATAGTAAAATTTCTGAAGTTTTGGACACCAGGTTAAGTGTGTGTGTGTGTGTGTGTGTGTGTCCTCCGCTAAATTTGGACCTCAGCGTTCTTCCTAATTTATTGTATCACCAATGGCATTGACTTTGCTTCACTCCCAGCTTAACTTGGATGTCTCAAGGGCTGTATATCCATACCACAATAACCCTTTGAGTCAACTTTGCTAACCAAATTGACTTCCCTTGATATTTCCAACTCTTCTTACAGTAAGCAACTTTATTTCTTACCACTCACTCATAATAAGAAAAGAGGGCTTCTTCAGAGAACTTACACATTTTTCCAAAGTTGTGGTTGGTTGGTCTGTTGAGTTCCATACACAGTTACAAATTGACCAAAGCAGGATTTAAATCTGGGACCTCCTGTCTCTAATCCCCCTGTATCATTTACTACTGGTCCACATTGTTATTTTGAAGAAGAATTATAGAATTGTATGCCCAGTTTCAGAAGTTTTCCACATTAGTAGACTTGAAGGGTATTGTGTTAGGCTGGGTTCTCTACAGAAGCAAAAATAGTAAAGCTTTTAGAGAGAAAGAGAAAGAGAGAAATTTATTTTAGAAAAATGGCTCACATACTTACATGGCAAGTCCCAAGTTCTTGGATCAAATGTCAAGTTGGAGGCTTTTCCCGACTCATGCAGCTGCAGGGGCTGATGACCTCAAGATTGGCAGGCAGTACACTGGCTGTTGACTCCAACCAATGATGAATCCAAGATCTCCATGCCAAATGGTGGATTGTTCACTCATGGACAGTTGTAGGCAGCACAACAGGATCCTGATCCACAGAAAAGTCTCTCTTTTTCCCAGGATGTCCATAAATATATTGGAAGCAGGCCACATCCCTAGGGAACCTCCCTTTCAACCAATTGGCTGCTCAAAACATATACATTCGATCGCATCATGGGAATAACCCACATCACAGCTGCTTAAACCACTCAGAATTGTGGTCCAGTCAGGTTGAAACACAACTCCAACTATCACAGGTATAATGATAGAGACCAAATCTGTCCTTGACTGCCTTAATGAGTATGGTATCCTCCATGTTTGTGCAGGGCCCTGCACATAGAAGGGCCTGTGTTTGGTTTAATGCTCTGTTGTTGCTGTCTTGAATTCTTAATAATTTTGAAGAAGAAGCTCCACATTTTCATTTGTCACTTAAGGCACTCTGGTGGTGTAGCACCTAAGGCATTTCACTGCTAACCAGAAGGCTGGCGGTTCAAACTCACCAGCCACTCCTCAGTCCTGCCTTCATTTCAATCACCTTCTTGCAGAGGCCAATATGAATTAATTGTGTAAAGATTTTTTCCTGCCATCCTTACACCAGGAGGCATCCATAGGACTTTCTGGAATTTGAAACATCAGGTATCTTCTTACCTTGCATCTCCACTTTCAGCCACAAGTCTATGAGCCCATATCTTATGCTCAATCCCAGAGTCACACCCTGGTATACACAGGAAGTTGACTGTGTTCCTGCTTTCCAGAAACTCTAGTCCTCCTGAAAGGAAAACGTCCCCACTATTCATCATCATCTTCATCCCAGCAGTTAGTTTTCCAAAGGGTCAGAGGGTTTACCTTCAAATATAATTATCAAAAGAAGGTGGGATCTTCGTGGAAGATGAGGACACTACCTGGAATCATTAGTCAGAATCATGTGAAACTGTCAATGATCAACTACACTTGACCTAGAAAAACAACAATTCCATGTGGCTCAAGCTAATACATGTGTGCTTGCTATTTATTGTTGGAAGTCCAGGCTGGTACCTGTTTTTATAAATTAAGCTTTATTGAAACACAGCCTCACTTATGTCCATATTGTCTATGGCTGCTTTTATGCCACAGTGCAAGAGTTGAGTAGTTGAGTTATGGCTCACAAAACCTTAAATATTCACTATCTGGTCCCTTACAGAAGTTTGCCTACCTCTGGTCTGCTCCTCTAGATGGTAAAATCCTTGGAGATAAGGAAATTATCTGTCTTGTTTGTTGCTTTATCTTCAGTACCTACAACAATGCCCGAAATACAGAGGTTACTGCATAAATATTTGTTCAAAGGGTGAGTGAATAGACAATGAAATAACTGATACACATGTTCTCAAGGCCCACTTGGGTCTGTGTTATAACCTGAACGACCCCCTCATCCCTGGGTCCCTCCAGAGCAGAGGGAAAGCAAGGTGAGAATGATTAAACCAAAGAATCCCAGGCAACATTTCCGGGTAAGATTATTAGGAATAAGAGAACTTCCCAATGTCCTTCAGATCTGATCATGTATTTGGTTTAAGGTTAGACCCAAAGCCAGTTCTCCTAGGATATGGATTAAGACAGACTTATTTGGTGTTCATGACTCCCCTAGTTTCTAACTGCTGCTGCAACAAATTACCACAAGCTTCATTAATTAAAACAAAACAAATTTATTTCCTTACATTTCTGGAGGTTGGAAGTCTGAAATAGATATCACTGGAGGAGCTCTGGTGGCATAGTGCCTAAGGCACTTGACTGCTAACCAGAAGACTGGCAGTTCAAACCTACGAGCCAGTCCTCAGAAGGAAGGTCGGGCAATCTACTTCCATAGTGATACCGCCTCGGAAACTCAAGGAGGGGTCGTTATGAGTCAAATCGACTCGACAGCAGTGAGTTTTTTTTTGGGGGGGGGTGGCTAAAATCAAGATTTCAGCAGTGTTGCATTTTTTTTTCAGAAGCTTTAGTGAAGAATCTGGTTCCTTGCTTTCCCATCTTCTAGAGGCTTCCTCGATTCCTTGGCTCATGGTCTCTTCCTCTATCTTCAAAGCAAGCAAGGCAGCATCTTCAAATCTCTCCCTGACTCTTCTGCCTCCTACTTCTACTTACAAAAATGCTGATAAATTACACTGGGATCATCTGGATAATCCAGGATAATCTCTTCATCTCAAAACCAGATGAATGGCAGCCTTTGCCATGTAATTTAACAGTTTCTTGGGTTAGGACATAAACCTCTTTGGGGGAACATTTTTCCACCTAAAATTACTGAGATATGAGATCATATTATAATGTCCACTATTGGTCCACCATATGGAATTTCTCGGAAGGAAGACTAGGCAATCTACTTCCTCAGAAACCCAAGGAGGGGTTGCTATAAATTAGAATTGACTTGATGGCAATGGGTTTGGTTTGGTTGGTTTATATGGAATTTCTAGCATTTGAAAGGACTAAGATGACAATATATTGTGATCCCTTTTCCCTCCTTTTAAAGAACTATCATATTCTGTGTTCACTGTAACACTGGAAAGTAGTGGGTGGAGAATTTTTTTTTTTTTATTTATATAATTATTTTATTCATGAGGAAGGTAAGAGAATAAATGATATTCATCAAGCCAAGAACTGGCCGAAGGTGTGGCAGCAGTGGAAACCAATTTTTTTTCTGTCCGCTGGCCTGTCCTTTTTCTCTTTTGACCCTAGAATCAGTGACCAGTGGTTGGCACTTGTCATCCCCATCCTCATGCTCGTCTGTTATGGATTTGTCCCTAGGGAATGGAAGGTATACAGCTCGTTGTAAGTGTGCTGGAGTTCTGCATTGCTGTGTCCCTCTCCGCCTTTGGATGCAAAGTAACCTGCTGTGACTCTGGTGGGGTGAGTATTGGACTTCCCTTGAAGATGTCTGTATAGTTTCCTATTGCTGTGGAATAAATTACCATAAACACAGAGACTTAAAATAACATAAATTTATTATCTCCTGGTTTCCATGGGTCAAGACCATGGGCACAGCTTAGCTGGGTCTTTTGCTCAGGATCTTACAATGCTACAGTCAAGGTGTCAGCTGGAGCTGTGGTCTCATAATAGCCTGATGATCCTCTTCTGTGCCCATCTGGCAGAATTCATTTCCTCTTAACTGTAGAACTCATGGCTACTTACTATTTCTTAGAGGCCAGCAGGAGAGCGAAAGTCTCTTCTGCTTTAAAGTTTCTTTAAGGGGCTCACTTGATTAGGTCAGGTCCACCCAGGAGAATGTTCCTTTTGATCAACACAAAGCCAACTGATTAGTACCTAATCATGGCACTGATATCTCATCATATTCACAGATGCCACCCACACTCAAGGGAAGGAGGATCACACAAGGGTAGGGGTCACTGGGGGGGGGCGGTCATCTTAGAATTCTGCCTACCACAATGGTGAAAGAAAAGCTACTTTTCCTTCAAAGGGCCTCCCTTCTGAGTCCAGATTTGAGAATACTTCAAACTAGAGAGGCTCCCAAGGAATGCCTTTGCCCTATTCAGACAAACTTCTGTGAGCTACTGGGGAAAAGTGGGCTTTTAAACTTCTCTACTATGAGGTCCTACTTCCGTAGTGATACTGCCTCGGAAACCCAAGGAGGGGTCGCTATGAGTCAGGTTTGACTCGATGGCACATAACAACAACAACAACAACTATGAGGGTGGAGCAGTGGTTGGCACTTGTCATCCCCATCCTCATGCTCGTCTGTTATGGATTTGTCCCTAGGGAATGGGGAGGGTTTCATTCTGTTGGACGTAGGGTCACTCTGAGTCAGTACTGACTCAATGGCACCTGACCACAACAACAACATCCATTTGTGCACACCTACCCATTCTGATACCCTGAAACCAACAGCCCATCCACCTGGCTGTTAAACAGAAAGAATGCCACCCAGAGAGAAGGTATTGGGAAATGAAAGGGGAGAGAAAAGCCTCTAGGGAAAAGAGTTGTCGTTACTGTCCTTGTTAGTTGGCCTTGAGTTGATTCTGATTCATGGCCACTTCGTATGTTACAGAGCAGAACTGCTCCATTGAGTTTGCTTGGGTGCAATCTTAACAGAAGCCGATCACCAGAACTTTTCTTCCGTGATACTACTGAGCAGGTTCAAACCACCAACCTTTAAGCTAGCAGTGGAGCACAGTTTGTAGATTTTCCTATGAAAAACAGGGCAGGGATATTTCCTAAGAAGTGAGCATTCCAGGATGAGGAATTGAGATATTAAAACTCCAATAGATGGTCATTAGTAGTAGTCATCCAGGGGCCTAGGAGAAGAAACTCTGGCTAAATCATAAAATGATAGTTTGATGAGATTACTTTTCTGGTGCTCTTCTCTGTCCTTTTGTACCTGTGTCCCTTTTTGGGGGCTTCCCATGTTGTACCACACCACCCACATCTACAGTCTTTCCCCACAGAAAAGAGATGGGCTAAATCACATTTACTTTATCGGTGTGTTTTTGCCTATAAGATCCTAGAAGTGAGGATTTCTCAGCAATTTCCAATGATTTTGTCATTTTTATTTGTGTTGAGTGAAATATTTGGGCGTAACACCAAACTCCTTAGTAATTGTGTAATGATAACATTTAGCCCTGTGTCCCATTCTGCTCCTGAAGTAGATACAGAGTGGGAATCTTGCCCCCACTAATCTCCACTGTGGATCCAGGAAAAGAACAGTGACTTGGGCACACATGTCTAACTCCTCCCCCATTGCACACTGAGTTTGTGGAAGAAAGTCTAGAAACTTCCTTAGTTTCCTGATGATTTCTGTATCACCCTGGTCCAATGTGGTTTTTGTAATGCTTTAGTCATGGCCAGTATATCATGATTTGGATGTGCTGTTATCATCAACATGCTGCTTCAAGATTGCACCCAATAAAACCCTATGGAGCAGTTCTACTCTCTTAGACATGGGGCCACCATGAGTCAGAATCAACTCAATGGCAACTGGCAATAACAACAACAACCATTTTTCCTCCATTCTCTTCCCTCCTTTCATTTCTCTATACCCTCTCTATGAGAGACATTCCTTCTGCTTTGGAACAGAATCTCGATATTTACTTTAACACCTTGGTTTACCCAACTTGTTGGGCACCATAAGCCAAGCCTATTACAGAACCACTGAAATAACCATTAGTATCTCATGCAAGAACCATGGCCGAATATTTGTCCTAGGCCTAGCTTCACCTAAAGGATGCCCAGAAACTAAACCAGATTGATCTTGAGACTGGAGTCAGAAGAGAAAGGGCAGATTCTGATGATATCATGTGATCAGGAGAGGGAAGCCCTGAGGTTGATATGTGGGTGACTCACTTACCATATTCTGATTGATTTCACAGGTTGTGTTCATCATGCCCCCAAACCCTCATGCGGCAGAAACAGCACCTGCTGCATCAGTGATAGGAGATTTCATGCCTCCAACACAACAATAGGAGGATCCTCCAGAAAATCTATCCCAACAGTAATGCCAGAACGACACTTGAGGAAGAAAAACAAAGTTTGAATACATGCTCCAACATGTATTAACCTTGCAAAGATGGCTTGAAATGTCTCTGTCTGTTATGGATTGAATTGTGTCTCCCAAAATATGTGTTGACTCCTAACCCCAATACCTGTAGACCAGACGTTACTTGAGTATACGTACACATGGAGTAAACACCACATCAAGGACTGATTCCCCTAATAGTCTCTCTCTCTTCTCTCCTCCTTTTCCCTCCCCCCAACTCTACTACCTTCCTCCTTCTCTTTCTCTCTTCATTCCCCTCCCCCCACTCTTCCCCACTCTCCTTCTCCTCCTCCCCTTCCTCCTCCTCCTGCTTCTTCTCTCTCTCTTTTTCTGCCCTACAGGGAAGGAGTTTATCTTACACAAGTCTGTATTCCCAGAGCCACGTATTAGATTGTGTCATATTTGGTATTTACTTGATGCTCATTAAATATATTTTACATGTTTTATTTTTATTACAGAGCAAACAAATAAAACTAGCAGCAATAAATTCATATGCTGCCTACTTCCCATTCAGATGCATAGTGGAAAGAGATTCAATCAGGAAATTTACCTTGGTGTTAAAGAATTGGCTTTCATGAAGGGCTGTTTATGCACAAGGAGACAGCTCAGAGGGCAGGGGTGCATGGAGGGATGGACACAGGGAAGAGGTGACACTTGGGAAGTGTTGGAGGTGTTGGGAGGAAGTGGAAGGGGAGCTGTTGCATTGTGGTGAATTGTGGTCAATGTCATGAGACAAGGTGTATGTGAGCTGCTGTATGGAAAGTGAATTTGCTCTGTAAATTTTCACCCAAATCACAATTAAAAAAAAAAAAAAAGAATTCGCTTTCTGATCAGACGTCGCTGGGTTTTTATCTTGAAAATTTCGTTCTTACTTCCTACCTGTGTGCCCATGGACATAGCACAAAATCTCTCTATGCTTGTTCTCTCTTCTGGAGCAGGCATACCTTGCAGATATTGTGGGTTCAGTTCCAGACCACTGCAATAAAGCAAATATTGCAATAAAGTGAGTCACAGGATTTTTTTTTTTTGGTTTCTCAGTGCATATAAATTTGTTTACATTATACTGTAGTCTATTAAATGTGCAATAGCATTATGAAAAATATTAAATATTGTGAGAATTACCCAAATGTGACACAGAGACATCAAGTGAACACATGATGTTGGAAAAATGGCACTGATAGACTTGCTTGATGCAAGGCTGCCCCAAACCTTCAATTTGTAAAAACTGCAAAATCTGGGAAGAACAGTAAAGCGAAGTTCAATAAAATGAGATGTGCTGTGTGGAGTCCCTGGGTTTGTAGATTCTTTTGTTTCCCTAGTCTTCAGATAGCATCTGTCTCTTCAATATGAGCTTGCATCTGTGTCTACTCTGCCCTTTTTATAACTCAGAAGTCATAGTGATATGACTATACTGATATAACTTCATTAACAATAAAAAAGAAAACCCTACTTGCAAATGACATTACATCTACATATGCTTTGTTTTTGCATGTTGTCTAGTTGAAATTCTGGCTGTTATCTTTATGGGCATAGATAGCCAGGTCTTTTCTCCTCTGTAGCCACTGGTCTACAGTTATAGGGGTTAGGAGTCAACACATATTTTGGGGAACACAATTCAATCCATAACAGATGGAGACATTTCAAGCCATCCTCAGATTAAAAAAAAAAAAAAAAAAACACCTCACTGCTGTCAATTCAGATCTGACTCATACAACCCCTCATTGGGTTTTCGAGGTGGTGTCACTATAGAAATAGATTGCCCGATCTTCCTTTCAAGGAGTGGCAATCTACTTCTGTAGCGATACCACCTCGAAAACCCAATGAGGGGTTGTATGAGTCAGATCTGAATTGATGGCAGTAAGGTTTTTTTAAAAAAATAATAACAAGTAGTATATGTCAGAGACAATGGTTAGCAGCTGATCTGAGGTAATGACAGATATAATGAATCCAATTTTATACTACAATAAGCAGCCAATTAGCACCTAAATGCCCACAGAAATCAACAAAAATTATCTAGAAAACAACCCAAATACCGGTCAACAGATGAATGGATAAACAAAAGTGGTACATATATACAATGGAATATTACTTTGTTGTAAAGAAAAACAAAGTTTGAATACATGCTACAACATGTCTTGACCTTGAAAACATAATGCTGAATGAAATAAATCAGTCACAAAAGGATAAATATTGTATGATCTCACTAATATGAAGTACCTAGAATAGGTAAATATATAGAGATCAGAGTTTAATAGTGTTACCAGGGGCAGGAGGGAGGGGAAATGGATGAAATTATCATTTAAGAAGCATTGAGTTTTTGCTTATGGGAATAGAAAATTTGGCAAAGGATATTGGCGATGGTTGCACTACATGATTGATAGAATTCATCTCACTGAATTGTATACATGAAAAACATTGAATTAGCAGATGTTGTATTATCTATATTTTCACAACAACGAAAAATACAAAAAAGAGTTATCTCGTAGATATGGGACCCTGCTTCCTGCTATGAATTTCTCAAGTACACAAAGATACAGCACATTTGAGTTTGCTTAATCCTCAGTTTGAAGACAGTTTTGCCCATCCCTCTTACACTTCTCTTTTCTTCACAAGTAGGGAGAGTGATTTCCTAATCCCTTTTATGAACTACAATTGAATTCTAGTCCTTCCTCCTCTTATTCCTTTGACTGGTGGAACAGGCTGCACTTCCCAATCTGTGCTTTTAACCATGGCTTTGAACCAGTTTTTCCTGGTTCGGTCATGGCTAGTTAAGTGAAACCAGAATGGACTCGGATGCATAAAATGTGGGTATATCGTAATGGGAAAAGTAATGGATTGACAGCCTGCTAGCAACTTAATATCCCTCTTAGAAAACAAGGGAACATGCATGTTGCATGGCAACCAATTTTCTGCATCAGCAGAGTAGGAAACAACGATGCCTTGCTCGAAGATGGTGGCCGACCACACCGCTTTCAATGTGTGTCACTCTCCACAGCCCTGGCAATAATCCAGTCTCCTGAATCAGGCCCCTGGAAAGGCTCACTCTGCTTCCTCGGAGTCTTCCATTTCAGGCTTCAACCCATAATTTTTCCCTTCCTAGTTATCATTCCAGTGCATCCATATTTGACAGATTTGCTCTGTTCTGATTTTGCTGTGCTGTCTATGACTCACCAGTTGGAATCAGTTCAAAGCCCTAATTTCAACTGCAAACTTACTGTTAATCAACAGGAATTTACCCACAAGATAGTGATGAGTAAGGCTGATGTTCTTGAAAGAGTAATTTTTCTTCCCTATGTCAAGCACTTAGAGCTTTCTAGTTCTTTTCTTAAGATAATATATGCCTTAGGGGTGAGGGCATGGGCAGAGGGAGTAGACGATTATACAAACAGAATGAGGAAAAGGAGATATTGCCTAATAGTTCCTGGCTTCGCTTTTCCAAAATCCCAAAGAATAAGATCCTACCTCAGCCACCAACCAAAAGGTTAGTGGTTTGAGTCCACCCAGAGGTCCCTAGGATGAAAGGTCTGATGATCTACTTCTGAAAGTTTGCTTTCATTGAAAACCCTATGGAGTAGCTCTACTCTGACCCACATGGAGGTTAAAGAGATTTTAAATACTTTAGGAAAACATCCAAAGGAAGAGTGCCTAGTGTATAAGGCAGGAGAGAGAACATGAAATGGAGGGAGGAAATCATGATAATTGAAAGGTCAAATGCCCTTAGGGACCAGAAGAAAGTTTCCCTCATCCTGAAGGGGAAAAGGGATGGAGGGGAGGTAACGAAAGCTGGGCTGCAGATGGAGTCCAGGGAAGGGGGCCTACCATGAAGCAAAAGCCCAGATAGCTGTTTGGGGTCCAAAGATTTAGGGCATAAACTTACTTTCCAAAGAGAACTTGTTGGACCAAGAAGGCCCAAGAAAGAGTAGCTGCATGGTGTTTCTAGAAAGGAGTTATAGGGTCTCACAGAGATTTTGGGACCCCAGCATAGATGAGAAGCAACAGAAAGATTTGCATACCTTTCAAGCATCAAAAGAATGTAGTGTATAGAGTCCATAGACCTCTAGGGTCCAGGTGGACAGGAACAAGGGATATTTTAGGAGCAACATATAGATAATTGTATTTAGGGTTAGATGACCATCAAAATTACTTCCCAAAATTGACTACTGGTCACTATATGAACACTCTACTATATTTTTTGCATAAAATGTGTCTGCATAAATAGTTCACATGCACACATGCACAGAACACGTAGGAAACTAACATGTGAGAGGCTTGCATGGTCTGCAAAAAACTGTGTAACGTGTGACTCTTCAGAGGCAGAAGGGATAAATGAGGAATTAACTTTCCACCTCTCAGCGGAATAAAAGCAGAAAAAGCCATTTCTGTTTGAGTCAATTCTGACTCATACCGACCCTATATGACAGAGTAGAGCTGCCTCGAAGGGTTTCCAATGTTGCGATCATTATGAAAGCCACATCTTTCTCTCACTGAGCAGCTAGTGAGCTTGAGCCACCAACCTTTTGGTTAGCAACCAAATGTTTAACCACTGTGCCACCAGGGCTCCTTCTCAGCAGAATACTAAAAATCAAACCAAACCCATCACTGTTGGGTTGGATCTGATTCATAACGACCCTATAGGACAGAGTAGAATTGCCCCATAGAGTTTCCAAGACTATAAATCTTCATGGAAGCAGACTGTCTCATCTTTGTCCTGCTGAGCAACCGGTGGGTTTGAGCTGCCAACCTTTTGCTTAGCAGCTGAGCTCTTAACCACTGCACCACCAGAGCTCCTTTCTCAGCAGAATAGGATCTAATGAAAATAAATTAACTCACGTTAATAAAAAATTAATGCTCTGTTTCTTACACTTTTGAGTTAACACAGATGTCACAGAAAACCCTTCTCCTAGATCAGTGATTCTCAACAGGTTT